CACACACACATATAGAGAGAGGGAGAGAGATGCAGACGGAACTGGAAACTGAATGTTCTAGGTTTTTCTGGAACAATTATTATGTGTAAATTCAGTAGCTTATACAAAATTCAGCAAACAATAACAACATAGCCATGAAGACGTCCTAAAGTTAAATTGATTAAATTAAGCTTTTTGTGAATAGCTAGGCCTATTACTTTTACTACAGTCAGGAAGTGGTATGTACAGTATGAAGAAAAGATACTTGTCAGAAGGCAGTGAAGTGGGTAAATGATATTGATAAATGTGCAAGATACAAGATACCTGCATCCAAACCCAACACACTCACTATGAGAAAACACTGCCCCCTACTGGCTAAAATCGTATCATACAGGCCTATCAAGGATATGCACTGACATAGTTGAAGGGTACATAATATAATAGGAAAATTATATACATGGCTTGTTGGGTTGCTACAGTACAGTCTCAAAGTCCATACATGAAGAACTGGCATCAGAATCAGACAGACTGAAGTCTGTGCTCATGCAGAACATCCTGGTAGGAGTTTAGATCGTGGAGGAGATAATCTCAGGCGAAAAAGGCCGAAATGAGCACAGAAGCAGCAGCATGAGAACAGATCCATTGACTCAGCTCAAAGACTTTATCTCTTAGACTCCAACATGCTCACAGAAAACTGATGAAACCACTGAGATGAGCGGCTAAACATCTTCATCTAAACAAGTCCAGCTGCTGCGTAAATTCTATCTGACATTAGATCATTAATCAAGAAACACTCACATGAGCAAAGGAAATAGTTTTGATATGTTGGTTGCCTTTTTAAGCAACCAAAAATAAAATAACTAATCTATTATGGTCTCTTTGTTATTTGTTGTTGTTCATTCACGGCCTTGAAACGAAATGTTACTAACGTTCGATAGAAGCGTGTTTAAATCCTGTCAATCACAACACAATGTTGTTACCTCACTCCTATGACAAATTTCTGGGCATTTGTTCTATTTACTTCTACAATGTATTTAAGATTGCCACATAGAGTGATGGTGTTTAGGTAATCTCAGTTGTACTGATATTATAAATCCAGGAGAGGCATTTCTGAATAAATCAGTGTTTCTGTACGAATCGGTTTAGTAAATGATTCAATGATTCATTCCTAAAAACAGTCACTTTGAACGAACCAGTAGAATGAATTTTTCAATGACTAGCTCATAAGGACAAGTTGGGCTGATTATGCATTATGCATACCGACCTAATGAAAAACTGTGTGAAAATTAACAGAATTCATAAAACAGTAGGCAACCTCCAGCTAGATGTGATTTCGGACACAGCCTTTCTTTTCATTGCTGAATGAGGCAGTGTTATTGAATGAATTGTTTGAGTGAGCGAATGATTAAATGGCATAAAGACTGTTAAATTGTTTGAATGAATGTTTCAGTTGCACACCCATAAAGCCAGTCACTTGATTCGTTCCTGAATGCATCAGTGTTTTGAACGAATCGTTTGAATAATGCACACTGTCAGTCTGTCTGGGACACTTAAAGGGGTCATATGATGCGATTTCAATTTTTCCTTTCTCTTTGGAGTGTTGCTTATTTTTCTCCCACAACTGCTTCTGAGTCTGACAGCTAGAGCAGAGTGAAATATATATCCACTTACTATGAAAGTGGATATCACTGACCATTATGTAAATGATGTGTGCCTGAAACCACCCTGTCTGAATAATGTAATCATTTTAAACTTGTTTTCATGTTGTTATTGGGGAGGTCGTAGAACTGTGACAGACCACATGGAGTAAATTTGTAACGTTTCCGAAGTTTTTCCCACAGTATTTTTTCAATTAGTGCACTGCGAGTTGTTTTGGAAGAAAAGCATCTGCTAAATGGTAACTACCAAAAGCCCCCTTAACAGCCCCCAAACATCAAGACCAACATAAAACCCATGAGTAAATGTGAGAGGCGTTAATAGGTTTTGGCTACAGCAGTGTGTGAAAGCCTTTAGAAAGAGAAAGAGTTATGAAGGGAGCACAAAACAGAAAATAACACTAAAGGAAGCACACAAGAACACGTCATAGAAAATGCCAGCAGAAACCACCCTAAATTCAAATTCAACCACCTTTTCTCCTGTAGCCAGTGTAGACATATGGACAGGAGGACACAAAGTGTCCAGAAACATAAACCCTGTATATATAAGAATCTTAAATATGAAAAATGTCTCCAATAGTGTTGGTTTTATTAGAGGAGATATGTAACAATGTCACCCATTCATACTTCATACATTCGGTTTTGTTTCCAAGAATGTTGTCTAAAACAAAACAAGATTTTCATTCATGAGCCGTGTTTTAACATGTGCAATTAGTCCTCATAAAACAAACGAAAATCACTGAAAAACAGTTAAAAACATTAATTCACTCACTCACTTCACACAAACATGCATGCTCATATCAAGCCAGATGTTCCAACCCTCAAAAAGACAGGCACAGGCGCTTCAGTGGTGGTGAGACTTTCTGTTTTCCAGGCATTTGGTAAGGTTCGTCTCATGCACAGCAGACAAAAACACTTTCACAGCATGTGTGTCTTCCAATAAAGAGGGAGATGTTCCAGTCTCTTACTCCTTCCTCATGGGAACGTCTTCTAGAGGTACTATTGCCTCCAAAGAGCCAGTGCTGCAATGCTGCAATGTTGTTATGGAGATAACGGTGTGTAGTAAGAAGAGAACAAGCACACACAGTTTCAATTTACTGCCATGAAGACGATTTGTACATGACACCGCTCCTGATGATAACCTCCTATGCAAAGAGAAGGAGCCAGGGAGGCGTGTCAGAGCACATGCGGCGCCTACAGTGGAGTCACACCCACTCCATCTGACATCACAGCAGTCTGGACCCTGACTGGTCAAATACTCCTCGTGAAACCCTGATGAAAATGAGAGAAACACTGGGTTAGAACAGGACAAAACACTGTACCGAGAGCATCGACACATTTTAGTGAATCGAAAACAAACATTTCTGCCTGAACATTTACGAATCAGTTGGAGCAGTTTCTTGATTAATCCGATTTACTCACTGAACAGCAGGTCATTCATTTCGTCATGTCCAACACTATTTTAGTATTATTTATATACTAGTATTTATACATACAGTGCCCTCCAGTTTGCTGTGTAGTCAAGACATCTGCAAATATGATTAAAAGATGAATATGAGACACAACTACAGAACGTCGCAATTTTATTATTAGCTGTTTCAACACATACATGTTTTACCAAATAAAAAGGACAGCACTTTTAGAGTTCATCCCACTATCTGATGTGAGCATAAGTATTGGGACAGTTGAACTTAAGGCAGATGTAAAAGATTAAAAACTATTATTTAGTTGCAGATCCCTTGCTTGCTATGACAGCAGTGAGTCTGCGACCCATAGACAACACCAGACTCTTTGTCTTGTCCTTTGAAATGCTTTTCCCAGCCTTTAATGCAGCCAATTCCAACTGTTGCTTGTTTTGGGGAGTTTCTGCCTTTAGTCTTCTCTTCAGCTGGTGAAATTCTTGTTCAATCAGATTTAAATCTGGAGATTGATTTGGGCAATCTAAGACTTTGCATTTCTGTGCCCTGATAAACTCCTTCACTGAACTGGCAGGGTGTTTTGGGTCATTGTCCTGATGCAATATGACATGCTTTCTGATGGCTCTGGTGGCATTTTCTTGAATATTGGTAGCCAAGATGGTTTTGCACCCTTCCAAATTCATTCTGCTATCATACATTACGTCATCATTAAAACTGAGAGGGCCTATTCCAGAGACAGCCATGCATGCCCATGCCATGACACCACCTCCACCATGCTTTACAGATGAGGTTGTACGCTTAGGATCCTTTGCAGTTCCCTTTTTTCTCTATACACTTTTGCTTTCCCATCACTTAGATAAAGGTTAATCTTTGTCTCATCTGTCCATAAAACTCAGTTCCAAAACTCTACTAACCTTTGTGCTTTTTGCAAACTCTAATCTTGCCTTTCTATTTTTGGTGCTGGTCAGAGGTTTGCGTCTTGCAGTGTAGCCTCTGTAATTCTATGTCAAAGTCTCCTGCACACAGTAGATTGTCAGAGCATCACCCCAGCTTTCTGGAGGTTGTTGGTGATTTTACAGACATGTATTTTAGGGTTAATTTCACAGCTTTCATCAACTGCTGTTGTTTTTCTCAGCCGATGCATCGTTGTTGGTTGCGGGTGGGGTGACTCTTGATTTCTCCATGCCCTTTGTTTTTGCTATAGCTCTAATTGATTTCCTCCTTTCTTTTAGCATCCAAATTGCTTGCTTTTCTCTCAAAGTCAGCTCCAGGTTTGTGTGTGTCGTCATCGAATGCAAGACTGCAGAAGCAATGGATATAACTGATACGACACATTCCCTGCTTTTAATATCTGAACAATTAATGCAACAGGAAACAGCTGATCACTTAGAAAGACCTGTGAGGCAACTGTTCCAAACTGTAAAAGTGCTTTTCTTCTTAGCTGGTAAAACATTTATGTGTTGAAACACCCAATAATAAAATGTGACATTCTGTAGTTTTGTCTCATATTCATCTTTTTAATCATATTTACAGATTTCTTGACTCCACAGCAAAGAGCGCAATTTTGTCTTTACTGTCCCAATACTTATGGCGGGCTCTGTATATGAACAAGCTTTTATATTTTCAGGTTTTACTTTAAGTTAGAGATTTACTGATTTAAAGTGATTATTAGTTTTTTATTGGTTCTCGATTTCTATTTAGCTTTATTTCAGTTTTAGTAATTTTAGAACTTCAGCTTAAACTATTTTAGTTATAAGTTGCTAAGCCCACATTTCTGATTTTCATTTAAGCTTTTCATGTAATATTTACATTAAATTTTTTTCAATTAACAAATATGATTTTATTAGTTTTAGTTAACAATAACAACACTGCATGAACTAATAAATGATACTGAAGGCTTTTGTGACCTTAATCAGTGTAGTGGTTTAGTCAAAGACACAGATTATGAATTTTATCAGTTAACTGTCTAATAATAATAATAATGTCTAATATAGCCAAAAATATGTGTAATTCCAGTTATTTCTGTGGGGATGAATGTTCTTAAGAATTGTACTTTCAACTTCAACGTCTGAAGAATGTCCCTTTTTATTTCAGCATAGCAATGAGCCTGTGCACACAACGAGGTCTGTGTAGAATTGGTTTACAGAGTCTGGTGCGGAAGGACTTGATTGGCTTGCACAAAGTCTAGACCTGAACCCCACTGAACACCTTTGGTATGAACTCTCTGTTCCAATTCATCCCAAAGCTGTTCAGCGGGATTTGTGCAGGCCAGACTGTTGCAACAAAGTTGGAAGAACCCAATTCAGTACAGTTACTGCAACAGCAAAACCTGATGATTAGACGGGGCTGCACATATAACGCTGGGCCATATAGTGTATGTATTCTGTGATTTACCTGCACAGAGAAAGCTTGGCAGACCGGCATACAGCAGATGGTCATTGTCAGGTAGGATGAAGGGGCAGCTGGCTGTGACCACACCACAATAGTGCTTGCATGGAAGCCACCTCACACACTGCCGCTGAGGAACCGGAAAATATTCTGTACAGAGCCAGGCTTTATACACTGCCTGAAACACACGTTACCAAACTATTATTCAGATTTATGCTGAATGTAGTACTCAAGCTTGTGGATGGTTGGCATTGCTACTAAATGCATCTACACATATAATGTCTATACGTCATCCAAAGTGACTAAAAAGAGCATCTCACCTGACACAGGTGAGTTTGCGCGCGCAGAGCCAGAGGTGATCGGACAGCAGCGCCGTGAAAAAGAGCAGCGACGCGAGGCTCATGCGCCATCTCTGCACCTTCTCCGGCTCCGCGCATGGTTTGTCGATGGATTCGGTCACGCGGCAGATTTCTAACTTGGCGTCAAGTTTCCTTCCACAGCGCCAGGCGCCCGTGATCATATTTTAGAGGGGAAGACAAAGCGCGAGCTCACACGGGCGGGTCTCCTCCGCAATATTCCCCACCGCGACGTTTACATGATGACTCGAAGCGTCCCTTTCACCTGCTGCTCAAAATCAAGCTGCACTGCAAACACCTGCGTCTGAATTACCGAGATAGTGCATGATAAAGCACATGCCGCGGGACTCCATCACCTACCCCGCATCTCCTTGACAACACATCGTACGCAGCCGCGTCTTACTCATTCACGGGCATCTCTGAGGCGGCGGGGCGAAGAGCTCGTGCGTGTTTGTCTGTCTGTAGGGGGCTTGTCATCTTTCCGCGGTCTCCTTCACTCTGTCGCCATCTTCGCTAGCACTCAGACGAACCCTGAGATGTTTTAATTGAAGGCGGGGGTGTGGCGCGTGCGCTGTCGCGCGCATCCTTGCCTCCTCCATTGAAACTTCATTAACTACGCGCTCACCATTTAATTCAACAGCGCGCATTGTTGCCCACCTCACCCTGCGAGGAATCACCCCGCTCGCCTTGCTCGGCTAGACACACAGATCCCGGTTACGAGCGTAGAGGGGCAGTGTGCGTGTGCGTGAAGATAGACTATAAACGTTATTTTCATCCGTTTTCGGTAAAAATTACCCTATAAATACCACGACGTTTTAGCAGTGGAACAAGGCTCAAAATACCTGACAGAATCTATCTATCTATCTGTCTGTCTATCTATCTATCGCTACACAAAGTAATCCGTTTCATTTAACATAAATAGCCCCTCACACACAGTGGAAATAAAAGGCCACCTGGGGTAAAATACCCCTTGTAATTTTGAATGTGATTTAATATTACATGGCAATAAAAACAACTACAGCACTTTCCCAAAAACCTATAGTACCGTAATTGTTTCGCAGTAGTGAGGATGAATGGATTTATTGCAAGGGAAGTGCAAAGTGGGTACTGACTGCTCCAGTCACAAAGTAAATGTATTTGTTCATGCATTAACTACATTTGTAGCTAAGATGTACAGTTCATTTAATGGAAGTAATTTTTCATATTGTGTGAAATGAAATATGGATTTAAATTAACTAGTTCTGTCCCAAAGTTTTTTTTTTTTTACCAATTATTTTTACTTCAATAATTTTCTATCATAATTTACTGTATGGGAGTCTAGATAGATAGACAGACAGATCGATAGATAGATACACAGATAGATGCATGAATGAATGAATGTGTGAATGACATGAATTCTGTCATATAAGACAAGTCTCTTCTTTTTACACTAGATGGCGCTATAAACCCAATTAAACGGCAATGCGAAACTTGGCGGCAGTAGCTGAGAAAATGTGGACTGAGGGGGCTCTGTTGAGTGTTGAGAGGAGAAGGTGGGATTTATCTGGACTTTTGATCCTGTGCTATAATAAGCCTTGAGGGACTAGGTGTGTTTCCGGGCCGAGCTCCGTCCAGATCTTTTACTGGTTTTAAATAAACTCTGGAGCATTTGCAAGCCCTGCAGGTCTTATAAAAGAGTTAGTATTCTCCTCAAACAGCATGCATTTTGAGTGCTTTCGTAAGAGAGAGATGCCTGGGGCTCCTTGGGGACTTGATGTTTGAGGTCATGTTAGTTAGTAGCAGACTTTATCCAGAGTGAAATACACAATGCTAATTACAGGGAGAATCCTCATGGTGCAACTTTTTTAGTTCTTTTAGATCACAGGTCTTGGTGCCGTGGCTCTCAATCTTTTCCACAGACAAGCAAGTACATGACTTTTTCTGCACATCTATATGCAAATATGATGTCCCTCTTCAGTGTGGTTCAGTCGACTGAATTTTAAGCTGAACTATGTTCGAGCATGTTTGTAATGGTACATCAAGATTCAGCAGGGAAATGCTGCTTCCTTGTAAATGTCACAATCAAGCCCACATGGGACTGGGTGTACTGAATTCCATTGAAATCTGCTGAACCTTCGGTGGAATACAGTGTGCCCATATTTCATGTGGGTCTGCTTATGGTATCACAATTGTATGATTTTAAAATTCAGTATACATCTTATTTATGATCCATAAAAATCGACAAGATGTATGGCAAGCAGATAAGAATGTGTGTGTGTGTATATATACACACACACTGTATGTATGTGTATGTGTATATATATATATTATAGGTGCATCTAAAAAAATTAGAATATCGTGAAAAAGTTATTTTTTTGTAACATTTCAAAAAGTGAAACTTTCATATATTCTAGATTCATTACATGTAAAGTAAAACATTTTAAAAGTAGTTTTTTCTGTTTTAATTTTGATGATTAGAGTTTACAGCTCATGAAAGTAAAAAATCCAGTATCTCAAAATATTAGAATATTTACATTTGAGTTTCATTAAATGACCATCCCTACAGTATAAATTCCGTGTAGCTCTTGTTCTTTGAAACCACAATAATGGGGAAAAAGTGCTGACTTGGCAATGGTCCAGAAGACGATAATTGACACCCTCCACAAAGAGGGTAAGTCACAGAAGGTCATTACTGAAAGGGATGGCTGTTCACAGAGTGCTTTATCAAAGCATATTAAATGCAAAGTTGACTGGAAGGAAGAAATTGGGTAGGAAAAGGTGCACAAGCAACAGGGATGACCGCAAGCTTGAGAATACTGTCAAGCAAAGCTGTTTCAAACACTTGGGAGAGCTTCACAAGGAGTGGACTGTATATGTATATATGAATTTAGTACTGTTCTTCAGATAAAATAAGTACAATTTACCCTGATCATACTGTTTAAAAAGTTTGGCTCTTAAATCAGTTCTAATTGGTTCTCATTTGTTTTTTTGCCACTGTATCTTTTCCTAGGTTTTTCTCTTTTTTTCTGTCTTGATATGCATACTCTTTAGCTTTGTGCTGTTGAGAGGACTGAGAGAACTTTTGCAGGTATGTTCATTTTTTGAATGAATTACCCGACCCCTCCGCAGCTTTATCCAACATGGGGTCACAGTTGAGAGGGCATAAGTCAAACTTCAAAGATGAGATGAAGATCAAATGAAACACACACCAACAAAGAGCACACATGCTGGCATTTACATACAAATGGATGCAGAAACACTTCACATACACCGTTATAGATGAGAGAGAGTTCTACTGAACAATCTTATACTGCACAGAAAATAAAAAAATGAATTTTATTATCCTGATTTTTGAGGTGAACGTTAATTGGTTTTTCACTGTTGTTGTGCCTTTGATTAGGGGTTGAAGTATATATAAGTGCCCCCCTCATCCACATTACTGAGTTACTCATAAAGATCCTTGACATCTGACCCCTGATAGATAAAGGTCAAGTTGGGAATGTGCTGAGGTTTGCTGAGAACACCACACTTATCAAAAGACACAACTCCATCTATCTTTATGAGTGTCATTCTCAGAAAGTGAAAGTATACCGTGAAATATGAAGAGAAGTATTTTTGGATATAAAGCAGTGGAATTTATCCTGTATGTGGTGTATAAGTATGTGCATTAAAGACAGTTGTTGCAAGACTGCAGTTTGTCAGAGTGACAGAAGAGGGCAGCAGAATCTGCATTACATACCTCTGTGTGGAATGTGTGTGTGTGTGTGTGTACGTAATGAAATGTGCTGATTGATTCTGTGCTTCGGAATTCTCAGAAATACAACCCATTGCTTCATAAGGAGCCATAGAAACCGCAAATCTGCACCAAAAACACATATAAGTCAAAGCCCTTCAGTTAAACAGTTTCTTATGACAGCATTCAGGTTCCCTTCAGTCAGAATCGATCTCGGTCTGCTCTGTTAACACTTACAGCACACACAGGAACTACATTTAAAACGCGTTCTATTTTATTGTTTTGATTTCTCACATTAAAAGGACTACAACTGGACTGCCATCACTTTTGTCTAGCATATAAAGTGAAGAAATGAAGAATGTTTCCATGGCTTATTTATGGATATTAACAGCATTAAATCATTTGCAGAGATGTATTAACTTTAGGTAAAGAGCTAAGACTTGTTTCCCCACAATTTTGCTAAAGGCAAACCTCTCTGTGACCTTTCTCTTTCTTCTTGTAACCTTTACTAACCTTCTCTTCAGGTTTGTCCTTCAACAGACAAGAGATACATTTGTTTGTCTCCTTGTTAAACAACATTAATAGTTAAACTGCAGTGATGTTTATCTTTGGATAAAAAGTCTGCTTGAGTATCTGTTGTGAATTTCATGAGACAAATCAACTCGATGTCTGAATTAGAAATAGCTTACCTAATGGCACACCTGCTCATATTTTCAGGATTCTGTGTGGGTCTGTTTCTGATCCTGACATTTAAATGCATGTATCTATATGTAGTCTGTATCTACAGTATGTCATTCAAGAAACATTACAAGAAAGAAATATAGAATTTTACAATAGGGTTTACTTTAACAACATCAGTTAAATACATTAACATGAACTAACAATCAACAATACTTCTACAGCATTTATTAATCTTAGCTGATGTTAATTTTAAAATTTTTAAGAACAAAAGTTGTATCTGTTAACATGAGGTAATGCAAGTAACATGAACAAGATCACTTTTATTAACAGTTTGCATGCTGCAAAAATACATTACCCAATGTTAACAAATTGTAAAACGTTACTCTTATTTAGCCAGGATGCATTACATTGTTCAAAAGTGACAGTAAATGCATTTATAATGTTACAAAAGAGTTATATCTCAAATAAATGCTAAAACATTAAACAGCACAATTAGTTTTAAACACAGATAATATTAAGAAATGTTTTTGAGCAGCAAATCAGCATATTAAAATGATTTCTCAAGGATCATGTGACATTAAAGACTGGATTAATGACTGCTGAAAATTAAGTTTGGCCATCACGTATAAATTACATTTGTAAATATATTAAAACAGAAAAT